TGGCTCTGCTGAGTATTCCGTGACACTACAATAACAACACACCATATCCAATTTCTTATATTGAGGCCACAGAACAAGAACTAATCATGGCATTATTTGCAAATCTTCTCTTGTCACAAATTTAAAAGATACGCACGCGCGGTGGATAAACTTGACACTGCGCTCGCTCACTGCGCTTTGCACCGCGCATAGGTAGGTATTCAACCGATTCAACCGATTCAACGGCGGGAGCGGTCATTGCTCCCGACCGCTCGTCTTCTGTTTTTACGTTTTTTTAGTAGTGCTAATTAGTTGTTTTTTACTTACTCTGTATGCGTGTTTAAAAAGAATAATTATTTAGTACCCAAAAGGAGATTAAAATATAACAAAAAAAAACGAAATTTTATTTTAAATCATTTTTAAAAAATCCGAAAAAATTCAGAGATACTCTATATACGTAACCCAATAATCCCACGAAGTTTCATTAAAACATTCAATTTCACCCTGTATATTGCATTTTACGGGTGATATTTAGAGTCTTATAAAATAATTTATTAATGAAAATATTAATGAACTTATTATAAAAATATATACATATTTCAGTAGTTCAATGATGGTAGATTAGTTTTATGAAAATCTCTGATAGTAATTCTATTTCATTCAATATCAATATACGAGGTAAACCTGCATTATTTTTTAGCAAACTCACGGAGGTTAGATGTTTTTTATGATAATTAATGAGATAGAAAATCAAAATTCTAATACGTATTCTATATATTATGTTACAACAAAAACATATTTCCTATATCGTAGTAATTATTTTGATCTAATTTATTGAACATTATTGACAGATTCAGGCGTTTGAAGTTGTGCATAATATCGTTTTTTCTGTAAACTAGCTGCAGTAGAACGATCAGTACAAAAAAAGGAAAATAGTATTTGCAAATATTCTACATTAACTTTCAATAGGAAGAACAATTCTACTGTTAACTTCTATTGGAAATAGTCAAAATCTTTTCTAAGAGGATAAATAAGGCGCTCAAAAATTACGATTTTTAGCAAAAAATGTGAAAGGGCTCTTAACTACTGCTGTCACACGGTATTTGCCAATGCGTGACAGCAATAGCATTTCCAAATACCTAATTCTCAAATTTCTCTAAGCTCGCGTCCGCATTTAAGATTATTATCAACCCAAGTCTTTAAAATTACATACCTATAATGCGATTCAACTAAGAATATGATCGACGGGGCGCCATATTGTGACGTCATAGCTGTCAATTCAAACGAAAAAGGTAGAGTGAACAAAAAAGTTTTTATTTAATAAAAGTTATTTACTAAGATTAAGTGAGAAAAAAACATCCCATTTTTTAATAAAATTTATTAAATAAATTGAGAAAAGAAAATAACCGTTTTTTATTTTGTTATTTATTAAAACTGTGCGAGAAAAAACATTAGTCAGAATTAAGCTCTTCAATTCCGCTCATCTCTGCATTACCGCCGGAGTAGTTACGAATAATCATGCACTATTACTAGGTCACATACGAACATGCATCCTATATGTAAACCAAATTTTTAAATCGAGTTTCTGAACGCAACTTAAAGTGACATTTGGTTGACGATTTAGGTTATCAAAAATTCATAGCCAAAGCTCAATAAATGAAAATAAAATATCAACCAATATTAATTAACAATATTTGTTATTGTTTGTTTACAAATGTTTGGTTTTTATTCCATAATTAGCCGGGTGCTAAAAGAGGGTTCCAAGATTTTTTTGCAAGCCGTACTTTTCAAGCGACATTTGACAGATGGAGGTCATAGGCTTTCCTATTCTTATTTTAATCATTATACTGTTATTTTTATATAAGAAGCTTTGTTTATAGTTTCATAGCTGTTTATTTCTAGTACAAATGAGTTTTGTGTCAATTGATCTAGGGGAAGCGGGAATTTCCACTACAAGTATTTATAATATTTACCGGGTATCTTATGATCATCTTATGATCCGAAAGCTGTATTTGTCTTTGTTCAGAAATAAACGTTATTATTTTTATTACTAACGGCCGCCCGCGACTTCTTACGCGTGGAGTTGGTTAGAAATAAAGGATTAATGCACGAACTTTATTTATTTATTGACGTTTCGCAGCCTTTTCAGGTCTGCATCGTCAGAATAATGATTTTTTTTTTTAATTTACTTTGTCGAGCTACCTTCGAAAGACTTTTATTGAGCATTCGTATAATTCATTGGATTTTTTTAAAAAAAATATTGTCATGTATGAATTTATTAGTTAACTTAGTTAATAACTATGTATGAATTTATTAGTTAATTTAGTTAATAACTATGTATGAATTTATTAGTTAATTTAGTTAATAACTAATAAATTCATACATAGATCATAAAATCATCAGCTCATCGAGCACTTATAATAATATTATATCTATTATGTCTATAACAATCTATAATAAATTACCTGAAAATTTAAAAAATGAAGAAAATTGCAATGTTTTTATTAAAAAAATTAAGTTAATTTTATTTAATGAATGCTATTATAGCCTCCAGCCCCTCTAGCATGACCACTGAAACGGGATATGATAAAGGGATATATCGGCATTAACTGTCAGACTACTATGGAGTTTGACAGTAGTCTGACAGTTAATGTCGATATATCGCTATAACATATCCCGTTTCGGTGGTCATGCTAGAGGGGCAGGAATACCTAAATGATAAAACTACTATGGAATAAATATAACAAATACTATATTACTTTTATTATAAAAAAATATAATACAATACTTTCGCTTTCTTAATTGCATGCCCAGGTCAAAATTTTCCAGTTTCTCCAAATTCACAGAGGAGCTGGGACGACATAAATTGTAAATTAACCTATAATAACCTTTTGAGCTGCAGTACAGGTTCGGCGCGTGCTAGGCTTTTGGCCGTGGGTACGCATGAGGCTGGCTACTGGCTTCACGCGTACCCTTCGACAAATACGGGCACATTTCTTGAGCCTGACACAATCCGAATGGCAACCTGTCTACGGCTTGGGGTCCCGGTCTGCGCTCCTCATAAATGTCCCTGTGGCAGTGATGTCGACAAGCTAGGACATCATGGACTGTCTTGCCAAAAAAGTGCAGGCCGCTTCTCGAGACACGCCGCACTTAACGATATCATACGCCGGTCCCTTGCCACCGTCAACGTGCCAAGTCTACTTGAGCCAACTGGTATTGCAAGAGACGATGGCAAGAGACCGGACGGTATGAGTTTGATTCCATGGAAGATGGGTCGGGTGCTAGTATGGGATGCAACCTGTTCAGACACGCTGGCCCCTTCCCATCTACATGGAACCAACAACAGAGCTGGTGCGGCTTGTGAAGCGGCTGAAAAAGCTAAGGCAGGCAAATACAGGGGTCTAGGCTCCGAATATGATTTTGTCCCATTCGGTGTCGAGACCCTTGGTCCGTGGGGTCCTAGCGCTATAAGGCTTTTTAAAGAAATAGCGAAAAGATTAGTCGACATCACAGGAGACCGAAGAGCTGGCAGCTACCTTGGACAAAGAATTAGTCTAGCTATCCAAAGGGGGAACGCTGCCAGTATCTTCGGAACCTTGCCTAAAGGGACTCCTTTTAATAATGTATTTTAGTTATTATATTTTATTTTTTTAAGGTTTTTAGTTTTAGGTTCATTGTTATAGTATATTTTTTGTTTTAATTATTCTTAAATGTATAAATACAAGCCTCTTTATATACAATACTTATATAATTAATAATCGTACATAAATCATAAATCTAATAATACAATATCTTATTGGAGTAGTATGAATAAATAATTTTTATGGGTTTTAATTCATTGGATATAACAAATTATATCACAATAAGGAATTATGAATAAGACGTCCTCTCCTCCTGCAATTGCGATACCCTACACTACAGGGTCCATAATGCACTTTTTATCTATATGTTACCACCTTTGTATCTCCATTATGGTCTGCAATAAATGAATTGAATTGAAAATTCTAAAAATCTTCCAATGCAATATCCGAACATGTCATGACCCCCATGACCCCCCCCCCCCCCTGGATCCGCCCTCGATAGTTTTTCTCTTCAATCTTCTACTGACCTTGATAATGCCGCTGTCTATAATACATATACAGTGGAGGCCCGGTAGTCCGACAATCATTTTGCAGGGCAGTGTCGAACTATCGAACTTGTCGGATTATAGAGTACTGCCTAAGACCACCTATAGTCCGAATTTTTTTACAAAAGAGTACCTTGTAATCCGACAAATTACAGATCCAATGATAAGATTACAAATCATACTTTGTTATGTATGTCAAATTTAGTAAATTAAACAACACAATAGAAAGATTACGTTTTATTATAAAAGTAACGTCATCAATGCTATAGAATTTATAAAAAAATAAAAAAAAACAATACCCTACGCGTCGAGCACAATAGTGATGGTGCGTACAAGTTGTAACTTGTTCAATCGTGAATGAGGGCTATCGCGTATGAATTCGCCGCTAGAGGCGCTAGTGTAGCGTGAGGTCTCCGAAATGTCAAATGTTATTGCTTGTTGGTTGACTACGCGGGTTTATTTCTAATTAAAATAATGTTTTGAATAATTGGTAACAATTCGGCTTAATTATGGCAAATATGAGTTATGTGGCAATGAATGTCAGTTATTAAAAATTCAAATTTTAGCTTAGAAAAATTATTATGTTCCCATTTTTTCCGAATAAAACGAAACTGCGCGTCACTGTGGCATGGTCTATTATGTTTAGGATATGGTTCTTTTGTGTTAAAATACGATCTAAATGTAACCTTTGATTTCATGCGCGTATTAATAAACTTTAAAAGTTACAATTTAGGACCTCACTCAACAGTGGCGCCATCTGGTGAGGCAGAAAACGGTAGCCCTCATTAGCGAATACTTGTATGTAATAGACGATGTCGGATTATAGGGGGTGCCGCATTAGCCAGGGGCCGGATTACCGGGGCTCCACTGTAATATAGATTAATTGACTCACCAGCAACCACGGCGTCGTTCTTGATAGTTCTGCGCACGATCATGATGGCGTCGTGGAGGGATCGCTCCGTCTCTTCCAGAAACTGATCGGCGCCACCTCGCAAGATCAGGGTGCAGGTCTTCGCAGCAGGGCAGCCTGGTGGTAGAATATCATTCAAAAATTCAAAATTCAATATCGTTTATACAGTCTAGGCTGTTACAAGCACTTGTGAATGTCGAAAAGCTACGCCATCGGTTCGCAAATCTACGGCGGGAGACTTTGTACTGAGAAGAACCGGCGAGAAACTCAGCAAGGGCTGTTTTTTTCTCCCTGCACTATATACAGAGTCGTCAATTTGAAAAATGACTTCAATATGAGATAACTCATGAAGTCACTTTCCATTACAAATGTAAATGATAAAACAATTATGACTATAAAATAAAAAATATAAAAAACAGATTTAAAAGTAAAAAAAGTTTAGGAATGCCGTGTCCTAGGCACTCCTACTGTTTAGGCATAAAAACAAATGTACCATTAAAGTTAAATACAACGATTAATGGTACCCAATGAAGTAAGAGCAGACTCATCTCCGCTGGCAGCACCCGTTCACGAGCATGACGCATGAACCAGCCATCGCTTCGCTCAACAATTTTTTAGGGAACGTAACGACCCGCCTTTATTATTTACTAGTGGCCTGCCCTCGTTTCGCTTCGGTGTAGAGCTTGGGGGTAGAATTGATCAAAATCCTTTCTTAGCGGATGCCTACGTCATAACATCTACCTGCATGCCAAATTTTAGCCCGATCCGTCGAGTGGTTTGGGCTGTGCGTTGATAGATAACTATGTCAGTTAGTCAGTTACCTTTGAGTTTTATGTATATAGATTGAGGTGAAAATTCTTTACGCACGCTTGACTTGGGGGGGGGGGGGGGGGGGTAAGCTGGCGAATGCTTTACGAAAAGTGTGTTCGAGTTGAGTGGGGGATATAAGCAAGAGAAAGCAGTGCACGCGCACATTTTCTTTCTCTCTTTCTCTTTTAGCTAGTAAACGAAATATATGTATATGTACATTATTGTACATACATATTATATATATATATATATACATATATATTTTATATATCTATAGATATGCTATTATTGTGATAAATATTCGGCTATTAAAACGTTTTTCCAATCTACTTTACTCGAAAATCATCCACTCAGCACAGCAATATATCGAATACATTATAAACGAAAATTTAGGAATGATTATGGTGCCTTGTAAACAGTAGAATCTAATGACTTTTCAAAAACTAAAAATTAATACTAGCTTCGTGTAGCGTTCGTTATTTGCGTCTGTCGAGGTCAGCAAAAGGATTATATTATCAACTACAAATGTTACAGAAATAAAAAGAAAACAGTAAGTAAAGGCAGTTATAAAAAAATCAGACTAGGGTATATGTACACACATGTATATATTGTACATATATATATATCTAATATATAAAACTCTCGTGTCGCGGTGTTTGTGGTTAAACTCCTCCGAAACGGCTCGACCACCACCAACCCCTATTTTTTTATGGCGGTACGAAGTTCGCTGGGACAGCTAGTATATATATATATATATATATACAGACGGAGCTAAAGAAGTTTCACTTCAGTCATGCGGTCATAATTAAATTTTTCTGTTTGATGTTAGAAATTAATCTACGGTTGATCGGACCGTTTGGAAATAGAAATTTGCTCATATTAATCTGTGATCACGTGACAAAAACTCCGTCGTCTCTGCGATGCAAATACCGAATGCAGCTAATGCTATGAAATATTTATATATTCGAGCTCCTTCAAGCTTCGGAAGGCACGTTAAGCCGTTGGTCCCGGCTGCATCTGCAATCGTTGGCACCCGCCAATGCGCACTGGGCCCGCGTGGTGGGTCATGGCCCAATCTCCCTATTCCATCCATAGGGAAGGCCTGTGCCCCAGCAGTGGAGACATTAATAGGCTGATGATGATGATGATTTATATATTTGAGGATAATGCTAACCATTCGGCGCACCTTTGGAGTACCCTGAAAGGAGATAAAGGATGAAGATAGGAATAGGAATAAAGGAATTACAAATGGGGTATTTACATTTTAAAGTTAAAGGAAGGATAAAATACGGTTTAAGGAGCTTGATGGCGCGGGTGGTTAGCGTTCGGCTGCGATCGTTGAAGTGAAGCAACTTTCGCAGTGGTCGGTCATTGGATGGGTGACCAAAATTTACTATCTCGAGTACCTCCGTGCTTCGGAAGGCACGTTAAGCCGTTGCTCCCGGCTGCATCTGCAGCCGTTAGCACCCACCAATCCGCACTGTTATTGACTAATGTTTATAGAGTCCGTAAAAAGTGGATATTCATCATTCTGTTGTGTATTTCAGTAAAAATAACCAAATCAAAAACTCCATTTTCAAGTTGCCACGAAAACGTTTCTCTGGACAATATGGCGTCTTACTAGTGTGTGACGTCACACGACTGTTATTAAAACGATCGACGTCAAACGATACAATGTAATGTCACTTTAACCGGAAGTTTACTTGCGTGTGACGTCATTTTAGGCTCCGCCAATCCCAAGCGTTTTGGGTCACGTGACAATAGATAAGAAAACTATTATCTTTTTCGTGGGTTTTTAGTAAAATTATGAATACTTTTTTTTGTCAAAATAGTAAATACCCCTGCCAATATTCATTCTAAACACAGATGCTAACAATAAGCACTTCATTTTTAATACTGTCAAATACCCTATTACAAATTGAATATTTTGTTGAGTTCGCTTGTGCGATATAATTTTGCAGCAGTGCCCCAAGGACAAATTGTTCCCACAGCAAAAGGCAGTCTGAATTTTTCACTTCCAAAATAAAATGTTGCCATCAATAAAAAGCATCGCTTCAACTTTCATTAGATAAACTATTAATCAATATTTCATCAACACTCCGTCTATAATATGTCCATTTTGAATTTGATCACATAAAACCGTCAATATTGTCATTACCAATAATAAGAACAGTTTGAATCAATATTTCTTCATATCTGAGCCAATATGTATGTCATACTGCGTATCTGAAATCAATACTCCATCAATATGTCACCGGTCACAGAAGGCCTATTCGCTAACCGATTTTGACAGATGAAAGTGATATTCACCGAGCTATTTAGTTTAATGTTCAATTTCAATTTAATTAGACGTGTTTTTTAACTGTACTGTTTTATTATTATAATTATTTATTTTAATGTCATTGTTGTATTGTTTTTTAATTTCGATGTCGATATTATGTAATTATTATGAAATAAATGCTTTTATTAATATTATTATCATTATTATTTAGTGGTCCACTAATGGTTTATTATAACGCCACTAAGATACTTGTTCTGAAAAGCATCGATGGATATACAGTTTTCTCTTTAATGACAAAAAAGTTAGCAAATAGGCCTTCCGTAGCCGGTGAGATATTGATACGGTATTGATGGAGTATTGATTACAGATACGCAGTATGACGTATTATTGGCTCAGATTTAAAGCAATATTGATGCAAATATGTTCTTATTATTGGTAATGAATAATGATACAATACTGACGTTCAATATGGTCAAATTCAAAATTGCCGTTGGTGATTTATGACTTTAGTACACTGAATCAATACCGCATCACTACCTTACCGGTGACAAGGATGGCGCCATCGATAACCGAAGGAACCGAGAAGTAGGAGGACAAAGAAGGAGCAATAGCGTGTTCGGTCTGCGAATTCAAACTAAGCAAGTTTCCCAATGGTCGGCTATCGGATGGGTGAACATTCGTGGAACTCACCAGTGAACAGGTTATACCGCTCGCCGCCCACCTGTCGCTCGGTGAAGTGCTTGCAGTGCCCCAGTGAGGCAGGCTGCAGGTCCCGCACTGAAGTTAGCACGGCCCCACCGCAGGCCCGTTGGGTCCTACGCATGTCCTCTTCAGGGACTCGGCCCGCGCAGAACATGTCGCTGTGCGGAACCAAATGGGAATTTCATATTTAACAAGTACACTAGAATAAATACATTATTTAACGACCTCCGTGGCCGACTGGTTTGTACACCGGGTTTCATGTTTCATGGTGTCGCCGACTCGAGGTCCCGGATTCGAATCCCGGTGGGGGCTGATGTTTGTGTGATGAATACGAGCATTTGCACTCCAGTCGTGTATGTTTAATATGTATTTCTATATAAATATACTTAAATATGTACAGTATATGTATTCTATCCGTTACCCTAGTATCCCATAATAACACAAGCCTACAGTGCTTACTTTTTACAATAGTGTTGCACCTTCGTCGCTCTATCACTATGGCCTCATGTCTACTATCGTGATCCACACAACCGTTTCAGTAATTGGATCCGTATGTTTTAATCATTAGCCATATAGGATGAGCTTAATAGTTTATTTGATAATAATCAATGTTCTACTTCTTCTTCTTCTGGACGACCTCCGTGGCCGAATGGTTTGTACGCCGGGTTTCATGGTGTCATTTGTGTGATGAATACGAGCATTGGTACTCCAGTCAAGGATGTTTAATGTATTTTCTATATAAATATTCTTATATATGTACAGTATATGTATTCTATCCGTTACCCTAGTATCCCATAACACAAGCCTTACAGTGCTTACTTTGGGGCTAGGCTAATTGGTGTGAGTGTTGGAAATATTTATTTATTTAATGTTCTACGGTATAAATACACAGATTGATATTCAGTGTATAAAAGATAGCTTACCAAACGCTCAGTATCACATCAAAATCACGTCAATACCGCCACATTATCTCATCAATGATATATCAATATAACCTCATTACCACATCAATATCATATCAATAATGCAACAATACCACGTCAATATAATACTAAATAATCATAATAAACTTTATTTTCTCTCCACAATCTTATACAATATGCTTCATGAGTAACAGATTATAAAACTTAGGTCACCAAAACCCGATTTCTCGAAAACCGGAAGTGCTACGTTACTCAAATCCGGTTTGTAGTCTTATCAGACTATTCTTAACTTATAACTTAAATATTCTCTTTATCTATCTCTTACGGTTTGGCCGCTGAAACAGCACCACAGACGGACGGACGGACGGACTTGTCTAATAGATAAGAGATACCATATAAATTGGCATTATTTTCGCATCAATACTGCATCAATATAAATGCACATCGTCACTCACCGGTCGGCGAAGTATTGTGTGGCCACGTCTCCTATAGGCAGCTTGCTCAGAACTACGCTGGCACCGCTGGCATGCAAAGCAGCCAATTTGTCGTATAGAATCTGCCATTCGGCGTCAACCACTTTTTGATATTCTGTTACGTTGTCTACGCGAACCTAAAGGGGAAAAATATTATAAACCTTAAGTCCTTTTACAAAAATTGCGCCGCTGCCGTACTGATCGGCGCGTAGGTAGATTTGCACTAGTATATATTGCATTTTACGGGTGATGTTTCGAGTCTTATGAAATAATTATTAATGAACTAATTGTAAAAATATATACATATTTCAGTAGTTCAATGATGGTAGATTAGTTTTATGAAAGTCTTTGATAGTAATTCTGCACATTCCCAATCTCACCTCTTCAACACCCCATCTAATATTCATACTCACTATTAATTAACTCAAAACACAAAGTTATTTAATTTTTCCTTTCGCAGTCACTCATAATAATTTTCCATACAATAGGGATGATGACTAATTTTTTTTTCTCCGTTTATCAGGTAGATTATCAAAAAGTATTGGTCACGTATTTTTTCTTTTTTCACATAATATAATCATTGCAGAGATATATTGATTTGAAAAGTCGATTGACGTCACGTTTGAGTACACTTATAAGTGAAAATTCACTCAAAAGTGACGTCACGAGCCCCTACTCCCAAACTTTGAAGCGCTATAACTTTGTAATTTTTTGGTTGATTGCCCAAAGAAAAAATAAGTGTCCATTATTTTTTGATCATCTAACTGACGGACTAAATAGAATTTCGTTTAATGTACCCCGTCATCACCCCTATTCTTGCTGACCTTGCACATTCGCAGTAACACCTAATTAACGGCATATATAACAGTCACACTCCAAATTCATCCAAAATTATGATTACCAATATTTTGGACTTGACGGTCACCCATCGTTTTCCAAACCATACTCTCCATCCTTGCACATTGCCAATCTCACTCACCTCTCTAACCCTTTCAGCCTTCAACTCCAGCACGCAGTCGTCATAGCTCTTCGGTTGCATCTCAAACCCGGCGTAAGAAAATGTCTTGATACAACCATCTAAATACAGGGAGAAAAACCAGCCCTTGCTGAGTTCCTTGCCGGTTCTTCTCAGTACAAGGTCTCCCGCCGTAGATTTGCGAACCGATGGCGTAGCTTTTCGACATTCACAAGTGCTTGTAACAGCCTAGACTGAATAAACGATATTGAATTTTGATTTTTTTTAATTTTAATATCTCCCTCTTTTGTTACATACAATACCCCCCGACCCTGCACATTCACAAGCTAACCTATTCATCGCCCCATCTCAAATTCTCAGTATTCACTCAAAAGTACATATTCCAATCATCTAAATAAAATATATTAAGTCGCGATCACCCATCATTCTCCTAACCATCTTATTCGAGAGTGGCAATACCACATATTCATCACCTTTTTGATGTGTAACATCTTTCCTCTCGCTTTCCTGCAATTTGTGGCAGTGATTTCGTGAAATGGGACGGCAGTGTGTAACAGGAAAACGCGAAGGCGCGCTCTATTTGATTTTAGAATATAATGTTCAAATGGCTTATTCCTTTTGTAATAGGTTTTAGTTCTTTTTTTACTTTTTTTTATAAGGTGAGGTTTCAAATGTTACATATCATACGCGACTACTGTAAGGCTCGCTCGTTTTTTTTTTTCAAATCAAATCTCCCAAATGCATCCAAAATTATGATTACAATTACCATTTTTTCCCGTGACGGTGACCCATCATTTTCCAAACCAACCTCTCCATCCCTGCACATTCCCAATTTGACTCACCTCGGCATTGTCCCTTTCCGCCTTCAACTCCAGTTCTATATTGAGCAGGGCGATCTTGCAGTCGTCATAGCTCTTCGGTTGCATCTCGAAGCCGGCGTAAGAGAATGTCTTCTTGAAAGCCACGCCGGCTACCAGGAAAGAATCTTCCAAAGCACCACCGGAGACTTTCTTGATGCCTTGACAATATTAAACAAATTATTAATAGTTATAGTTTTTATTATTTTTAAAGCATGTAACTGCTTGATGTTTAAATCTAAAGAAAATATAACTAGAAAAAATTCCATGCGGACCAGGCTATTACTAAATTATTAATAATCAATTAGATTGGAAATTGAAAAACTATAAAAAATTATTTATTATTTAGTGTGTGCGAAGTAGGAGGTAGGGGAAGCAAGCAAGCCTACGGGTTCCCACTTAAGAGCCCTTTTACAAAATTGCGCCGCTGCCGTACTGATCGGCGCGTAGGTAGATTTGCACTAGTATATATTGCATTTTACAGGTGATGTTTCGAGTCTTATACAATAATTATCAATGAAATAATTATAAAAATATATACCTATTTCAGTAGTTCAATGATGGTAGATTAGTTTTATGAAAGTCTTTGATAGTAATTCTATTTAATTCAAAATCAAAATACGAGGTAAACTTGCATACTCTTTTGGGAAAACTCATGGAGGTTAGATGTTTTCTCATGAATTAATGAGATGGAAAATCAAAATTTAAATACATTATGTTACAACAAAGACATATTTCTGATGTTGTAGTAATTAATTCGATCTAATTTATTGAACATTATTGAGAGATTGAGGCGTTTGAAGTTGTGTATATTATCGTTTCTTCCGTAAACTAGCTGCGGTAGAACGATCAGTACAAAAAAAAGGAAAATAGTATTTGCAAATATTCTATTCATTAACTTGCGATAGGAAGAATAAATCTACTGTTTACTTCTATTGGAAATAGTCAAAATCTTATCTAAGGGGGTAAACGAGGCGATCAAATATTGCGATTTTTTGCAAAAAATGTGAGAGGGCTCTTAAATAGGGTAGAAATAATGAATAGGCCTCATGTCTACTATCGTGATCCACACAACCATTTCAGTAATTGGATCCATGTGTTATAATCATTGGCCTGTGACAGTCAAGTTAATTATACAGGGTGTGACAAAAGTTCGAAATAAAACTTTAGGTTTTGGTTGTGTTCCTTGTATAGACTTACCTACGAAAGTTTGACGCCTTTTAGACCACTTTTATTTTCTAATTAAATTAATAAAAATATCGTTTTACACCTGCCTATGGCAACCCTATAAATACGTACGATTACTACTACCTAAACAGACCCCCTCTCTCCCCCAGGCGCCCCTGCGCCCCGCTCAGATACCTACAAATTTTTATTTCGGAATACATATCTACAAATTTTATTTCGGAATTCTGTAACACCCTGTATATACGCCGGCTTTCAAGATGTCGTCTGCTTTAGTGGCAACGACCCAATCAGAACCAAGTTTTGGTCAAGTTATGAGCATTTGCTCATATACAGAGTGTGACAAAAGTCCGAAATAAAACTTTAGGGTTTGGTTGTGTTCCTTGTATAGAATTACCTACGAAAGTTTGACGCCTTTCAGACCACTTTTATTTTCTAATTAAATTAATAAAAATATCGTTTTACACCTGCCTATGACAACCCTATAAATGCGTACGATTACTACTACCTAAACAGACCCCTCTCTCTCCCCCAGGCGTCCCTGCGACCCGCTCAGATACCTACAAATTTTTATTTCGGAATTCTGTAACATCCTGTATAATTGTAACGCGCCTGCCCCGCCCACAAGACCCTTCTAACCTCTTCCTGTGTTCTGTGGGGTCCTAGAGGGCCTTAATAAAAGCTATTGTCAGTATGTAGAATGAGAGCTTTAATACCTAAAAATGTGAAAGCTAGCTATTCGAACTCCTAAACCGATTTAGATGAAATAAGACATAGAGATAGATTGAGTCCTGGGAAAGGACTATAAGTAATAATCTTTATCCCAGAAATAATGCTCAAAATGTTGGGTGGAAATTTGTGTGGAAACCCCATTTTTCAACACAGAAGTCGCAAAAATATAAAAATATGATAACGTAATGATTCACTCACCGATCATATCCAAGGGTAGGAGGGGAGCATCTAAAGATAGTACAGCATCCACAACCATCTTGGAGAAGTGATCTTTCTGTTGATGAATCAGTTTTGAAGACATTGCGGTGGCCGCACACTTGCGAAGCAGTTCCCTGTATAGACAATAGAATCATGTTCAGCCTATTATGTCCTCACTGCTGGGGCACACGCCTTCCGTGACCCATCATAAGGGGCTAGTATGGAATGGTGGGTGTGCAAACAAATAAAAAAAATAGTGCGTATGGAGTACACATCTGTACCCGTAGCACGAACCATTATCGAATTCGAATAGTTTGCAAACCGAAATGTCAATGTCAAATTATGTATGGAAACTTGAACAGCAGCGGCACAAAGTACGTAACGAGAACTAAAAATCAGTACACATTTGACAATGACATTTCGGACTCGCAAACGATACGAATTCGATATTGGTTCGTGCTAGGGGTACTGTTCAAGTTTCCATACAAAATTTGACATTGACATTTCGTTTTGTTGTTTACAGTTTGCAAACCGAAATGTCAATGTCAAATTTAGTATGGAAACTTGAACAGCAGCGCCACTTTGGACATAACGGGAACTAAAAATCAGTACACATTTGACAATGACATTTCGGACTCGCATACTATTCGAATTCGATAATGGTTCGTACTAGGGGTGCTGAAGTGAAACTTCTTTTCTTAAATAAAGCCGGGTACTCATTAGCAAGCTGTAACCGTAACCGTTGCATGCACTGTAACAAAAAAGCATAGTGTACGTGGGTAGCTAAACTGCACTCGTGAATGTCTAGAAGCTACGCCATCGGTTCGTAAATCTACGGCGGGAGACCTTGTACTGAGAAGAACCGGCAAGAAACTCAGCAAGGGCTGTATTTTTCTCCCTGTTTTATTATTTACAGAGTCGTCAAATTGAAAAATGACTTCAGAGATGATTCATGAAGTCACCTTTCATTACATAATGATTAAATATACACATTAATTGTTTCATTGTGTTCATTTTGATTGCTGTGTCATACAGTATAATAAATACAAATAGTGTTATTTATATTAAGTGTGACTTAACATTAACTTCAATATTAAGGAAGTTAGGGCAGACTCATCCCCGCTGGTAGCACTCGTTCACGAGCATGACGCATGAATCAGCCATCGCTTCGCTCAACCATATTTTAGGGAACGTAACGACCCGCCTCATACGACACCGTACTGTCGAACCGTTTGGCAATAAAGTTTAAATAATTTAACATAATAAGGAGATAGAAAGCCTCTCTTGAGTTTGTTTCGCCGGTTCTTCTCAGAAAGGTCTCCCAATTTGGAACCGGTGGTAGTTTACGATAGTTAGAGTCAAATAAATAAACTCAAAATTACAAAATAGAATTTTAAATAAAATACTTTACTAAGTAAATTAAATAATAAATTCATACATAGACAATAAAACTTTAAAAATCGAACAATGAAATAACCGAACGCTCAATAAAAGTCTTTCGAAGGTAGCTCGACAAATTAAATAAAAGTTTAATTCTGACGACGTAGCCTGTAAAGGCTACGAAACGTCAATAAATAAATAAAGTTTCGGCATTAACCCGTAAAAACTAGTTTTATTTAAGTTTAAATAAATAAATAGTAAATCATGTTGAGCACTACTTACCGCTGCTTCTCCGGCGATGTGTTGTCAATCTTGACGGATAGCTCCTTAACCTTGTTGACGGCTAACTGTGCGGCCGATCTGACTGCACGCGATATGACGCGAGGGTGAACGCCTGTACACAAAAGAAACGTACCAATTATACCCAACGACTCATCCGACTCCTCCCACATAGACCACAAACACCCACGAATTATTAATGAACTTATTATAAAAATGTATACATATTTCAGTAGTTCAATGATGGTAGATTAGTTTTATGAAAATTTTTGATAGTAATTCTATTTCATTCAATATCAAAATACGAGGTGAACTTGCATATTTTTTCGGAAAACTCATGGAGGTTAGATGTATTTTTTTGATAAATAATTACATTCTGATGTTGTTTTTTTGTGCATGAGATTGTGAGAATAAAGAAAGCATTATTTTTTTGTTTTTAAGAATGTAACTGCTCGATGTTTAATCTAAAGAAAATATTACTAGAAAAAATTGCACGCGGAGCGGGCAAAAGTTTGTTTCTTACAACAATCACAATAACATGATTGAATGAATTCTGGTCAAACTTGGGCACTGATAAATTTATTATGTTAAATATAAACATCTGGTTATTAAATTCCCTATACATAGAATGTATGCCAAAAACAACCTAACACACATGTTGTCGAAATCAACAGCTGTAAGTTTAAATAGTTATTATGAGTACTAGTGGCCCGTCCTCAATTCGCTTTGGTGTAGTGTAGATTTAAATGACTCTTCATTTAACTATAAAAAAACTGAAAGTGGTATATTTGCCTTTTCCAAACTTCTATTGACATCACGTCACTCAATTGTTTTGCCATCCCGGAATCTCTCCACTAACATTTAAAATTTATGGTATGGTATTAAAGTTCAAATTGACTTTCAGTATTATTACGAATCGTTTATATGGGAGTATAGAAAAGTGTTGTTATTATACTTTTTCAGGCAATTTTTTTTTAATTTCTCTGCATAAGAACCATCCTCGTACTTCAATGAATATTCTACAAAAAGAATTATCGAAATCGGTTCAGCTGTTCTTGGGATTTGCGCTTAGCAACACATTCAGCGATTCATTTTTATTTTATAGAAGACTAGCGGACCCTACAGACGTTGTCCTGTCTACACGTCTTTGTGAATCTAAACCATTCTCAGATCCCCTTGAACACACACAAAAAATTTCATCAAAATCGGTCCAGTCGTTTAAGAGAAGTTCAGTGACATACACACTCACAGAAGAATTATATATATAAAGATAGTGGGAACTGTCTTTCAATTTTTTTTTTAAATTAAAACTTGTTTTGTTATCAAAGCCTCATAAACGTGTGATCCTCACAGCCATTCAGCAATTGGATCCGTTGTTTATAATCATTGGCTTTGATATTACAAAAAAAATACATATAATTAAACGAAGAAGCACCACAGTGCATGTAATTATATTTAATTATGAAAAATAAAAAGATAGAAAGAGAGAGAGTTAAAGGACATCCTTTGACGGCCAAATAGTGACTGAACAGTAGCATTCACCTGCCAAATAGTGTCTGCGTCAAATCACTATTGCACAAGTCGTGTTGCGTCATATTATCATATTAATTAACTAGCGGCCCGCCCTCGCTTCGGTTCGGTGTAGAGCTGAAGTGTAGACGACAGTTTTTGTTCTCAGGCTTGTATTATACACAATGACATTCATCTATGATTCTTCATATACCTCTATGCAAAGTCTCAGCCTGATCGGTTTAAAATTGACAAAGTTTCATACAAACTTTCATTCCCTATTTTATCCCCTTGGGGGTAGAATTGATCAAAATCCTTTCTTAGCGGATGCCTACGTCATAACATCTACCTGCATGCCAAATTTCAGTCCGATCCGTCCAGTGGTTTGGGCTGTGCGTTGATACATCACTATATCAGTCAGTTCAACTTCAACTCAAAGGTGACTGACTGAGTTTTATATATATATATATAGATATGATAGAATCCCTTTATTTTTCCATCTTAGTCTAATTTCTTAATTTAATATTCGGCCAAATAGTGACTCCCGAGTGTCACTCAACTAACAAACAGTGACTCAGTGTTACTCAACCACCAAATAAAGCATTTGTCGCTAAACAACCAAATAGTAACTGAAATGAGACGCATAACAGTTACTATTTGGTCATTTACTGACACACGGAATCACTATTTGGCGGAATATTGACATGAATATAACTTAGTGCATGTAAATTACCCTAAGATGGAAAAATAAAGGGATTTTAACATAACTAGATGTCCCAGCGAACTTTGTATCGCCATAAAAAAATAGGGGTTGGTGGTAGAAGGGTGAAAATTTAGGGTTGTATATATTTTTGTATGATGTATCATAAAAAAATAAAAACAAAAAAATTTGAGCAAAGAAATATGGGTGGACAACCCTAACACTTAGAGGGATGAAAAATAGATGTTGTCCGATTCTCAGGCCTACTGAATCTTATATATAAAATTCTTGTGTCACAATATTAGTTACCATTTATGCATGCTTTGAGAAAAAAAAAGTTGTTTAATAAATATTAGGTTCTTCATATATAGATAATTGTTTATTTGTTAAATTCTCTTTTGTAATTTTTATCTATATTGCGATACCCTGACAGGGTTCATGTTAGGTACTTTATGCATTTTGTAACTTGTAACCATCCATGTAACCACATGACTGCAATAAATTGAATTGAATTGAATTGAACCATACACCTCCGATACGGCTTGACTAATTTTTATGAAATTTTATATGCATGTTTAGAAGGTCTGAGAATCGGCTACTATCTATTTTTCATACCCCTAAGTGATAAGGTTTGTCCACTCCTACCTTTTATTTATAGGACAAAATATTGTCTTTTATATAATGAGGTATTAAAAAATACATTATTTAAAAGACGACAGTAATCTACTATTTTTTTTTACCCCTGGGTTTGGACCGCTTATAGAAAGTGCACTTTTATTTTAAGATATTTTATAAAATTTGTATGTCAGATTCTGGTGAATTGTGCGTGCCTCAACAAATAATGTAACACGTTTTGTACCACTTTTCTTGCAAATAAATAAATTATTATTATCTCTTATCTATTAGACAAGTCCGTCCGTCCGTCTGTCTGTGGTGCTGTTTCAGCGGCCAAACCGTAAGAGATAGATAAAGAGAATATTTAAGTTATAAGTTAAGAATAGTCTGATAAGACAACAAACCGGATTTGAGTAACGTAGCACTTCCGGTTTTCGAGAAATCACGAATTTCAAACGAAACCACACAAAATCTCCGAAGTTCTCAATTAATTAAATACATTTTTTTTTAAATCAGGTTTTGGTGAACATTTGGTTCACTGGTTTGCTAGTTATCTCTCATTTAATTAATTTCACAGTTAGGTTTTTTATAAAATAGATATAAAAGTAATATATAAAAACGTAAATACAAAAATAAATATAGTATAAAAAACCGAACCTAGAAGGATTATTATCATAGAACCCATAAATTTTCACCTTTCTACCACCAGCTTCTATTTTTATGGCAGTACGAAGTTCGCTGGGTCAGCTAGTATGCATTAGTGACGTAACGAATATTTGCATTCGCGAATATTCGCATATTTTTGAATATTCGCATTCACATTCGCATTTGCAAAATCTCTGCGAATGTTTTGCGAATATGAATATTAGAAAAAAACAATTTGAAGAAGTTGTAGTTCTACCTTTCCTTGAATATTCATTGTTACAGTTTGCATTTAGCTCGTTCAGCATCGCAAAGTGTGAAATAAGTCCATGTTTCACTAGAATTCGATGTGCTCATGTTAATAAATCACTATTACCACTCACAATCACTAACCTCAAAATTCACTTGTTTTGTTTACGGAAAGACCGGTGCGAACGGAATAACACTTCAGTCGGATGAGTTCATATCAACTCGGCAATTTGAACGAGACACCATCATGCCATAGACAATTGGCGCCAATTTAAAAAAAACTAAATATTCGCATTCGCGAATGTCGGTACCAGACATTCGCATCCGCATTCGCATTCGCGAATGTTCAAAAAATGACATTCGTTACATCACATGCATACTATGCATATAAAATTTCACGAAAATCGGTCAGGCCGTTTCGTAGTCCTACGCACACCGTGACACGAAAATTTTATATAATAAATTTTAATATGACGCAAGACGACTTGTGCAATAGTGCTTTGACTGTCAACAATCAAATAGTGACACGGATATTGTCTTACCTTCTTCAACGAAAGGCTTCAGTCTTTTCAGTAGCTCGCCAGCGAGTATGACCACTGAGGTTGTGCCGTCGCCGACCTGAAATAAACCTTATATCGTAAGAATATGACTTAAAATTACTTTAATTTTTTTAAGCATTTAACTGCTAGATGTTTAAATCTAAAGAAAAAGTTTACTAGAAAAAATTCCACGCGGACCAGGCAACAGACGACATTGTGGGTTGCCTACAATGCGAAGAGATGGCGCTGAATTGCAGCCTAAGACTAGAGAAAATTCCACACGGCCGTCAGGGCCGCGGTAGCATAATGGTCAATGCATTCGCCCGGATAGCGAAGGGTGCGACTTCGAGTCCCGTCTACTGCCTGGTCCGCGTGGATTTTTTTCTAGTAAACTTTTTTTTAGAATTAAATTTCATCATCATCATCATCAGCCTATTAATGTCCCCACTGCTGGGGACAGGCCTTCCCTATGGATGGAATAGGGAGATTGGGCCATGACCCACCACGCGGGCCCAGTGCGGATTGGCGGGTGCTAACGACTGCATACGCAGCCGGGACCAACGGCTTAACGTGCCTTCCGAAGCACGGAGGAGCTCGAGATAGTAAATTTTTGGTCACCCATCCAACGACCGACCACTGCGAAAGTTACTTAACTTCAACGATCGCAACCGAACGCGCTAACCACTTGCGCCATCGAGCTCCTCGAATTAAATTTACTTATCATTTATTGCTCATGGGCAGCGTGGCGGATCAAAGACCAATGTCTTTATTCCATTCATAGAGGCATTTTCTAGGAATGGATAAGAATATTGGCCATGAGCTACCCACTAAGACACGTAATCACTGTGGATTGGTGGGTGCTAACGACTGCAGACTTAGACCCGATTTCACCAAAATTTGACAAATTGTTTCGTTAGCTAACGGTTCAGTAAAACTAACAAGGCTGTTAAATAAATTCATTAATTCCTATAATTAAATAATTAAGGACCGTTATTAAATCAAGCAAGATTTGAAAATTATTCAGACATATTTTAAAATAACAAAAAAAAATGTCTATTTCTTTGGCATTAATGTGATCACATGGCCTATAAATAAAAAAAATGTCATCTTTGAAGATAGTATTGTATCGAACTCCTTGATCGACCGCATCAAGGAGGAAAATCCTCTGTTAATGCAAGATAGGACACAAAAAACATTAACTTGTCGTGTGAGGCGAGTCGTTGCGTTCCCTAAAATATGGTTGAGCGCAGCGATGGCTGGTTCATGCGTCATGCTCGTGAACGGGTGCTGCCAGCGGAGATGAGTCACCCCTAACTACTTTGATATTTAAGATGTAAATGTTTAATTACACCTATTATAAATAACTCTATTTGTATTTATACTGTGTGACACAGCAATCAAAGTGCAGGTGAACAATTAATGTATAATTTCACATTATGTAATGAAAGGTGATTTCATGAATCATCTCTGAAGTCATTTTTCAACTTGACGACTCTGTAAATGATAAAACAGGGGGGGGAAAGCAGCCCTTGCTGAGTTTCTTGCCGGTACTTCTTAGTACAAGATCTCCCGCCGTAGTTTTACAAACCGATGGCGTAGCTTCTAGACATTCATATGTGCTTGTAACAGCCTAAACTGAATAAATGATTTTGATTATGATTATGATGATTAAAGGAATTGACACGCTATTAGATAAAGTACCAGTAATTTTCTGGGATAACAAGTATTCTGTCTCAATCCCGGTCATACACTATATGCACACCAAAATTCCAACTCCTCTTCCAACCAATCCAAATTTCCGCTTTTATAATATTAAGTGGGATTCTAATTCCTCCGACCGATGACGAAGACGACCTCCCTGGCCGAGTGGTTTGTACGCCGGGTTTCATGATGTCTCCGACTCGAGAGGTCCCGGGTTCGAATCCCGGTGGGGGCAGATGTTTGTGTGATGAATACGAGCATTTGTACTCCAGTCATGGATGTTTAATATGTATTTCTATATAAATATACTTATATATGTACAGTATATATATTCTATCCGTTACTCTAGTATCCCATAACACAAGTGCTTACTTTGGGGCTAGGCTAATTGGTGTGACTGTTGGAAATATTTATTTATTTACCTCAGCATCTTGTGATTTGGCGATATCCACCAATGTTTTGGCAGCCGGGTGAACGATGTCCAATAACTGTAAATATAATCAACAAATTAGTAGTCTCTCCTTTAATACCGTTGCTGGGCAAATTGCGTAAAGCATTCTGCGTCGTCTGTATGTGTCAAATGCATGGTTGTGTGTAGAGAGAGATGAAAAAATAAATTTTGTAATTAACTAAAAAAATCTCGGGAACTTTTTTTAACACAATACCATCATCTTATCACACAATACACATTTAAACACGATTTTTATCGCGTCTAGCTGTCAATCTCCGTAGAGTAGTATCATATCGCGGTGTTCATGCTAGTGGGGGGGGGGGGGGGGCTGAATTCAAAATTATTAAGGAAGACTCCATTTAAGATTAACATTAAAACGCTATTTTTATCGCGTCTAACTGTCAATCTCCATAGTAATTTGCCAATTGAGCGTGATATAAACGCGTTATATATCATACCGCGGTGTTCATGCTGGGGGGGCTGGTATCAAAATTATTAAGGAAGATTCCGTTAAAGATTAATGCTAATCATTAAAGCCTTATTACGAAGCGTAGACTTTAGTGAAATCTGGACTCAAACTAATGCTGTCACTTTTTTTTGCTACTAAGAAGACAGAGGCAACTTTAGGTTTCATCATCTTTAGTCCGCGTTTCAGAATAAGGGGGTATGAGTTTATATTAAAGTTTGAAAATACCTCTTTCCTTTATTTATTTGTTTATATAAATATGCATCTATATTATTATTACCGTTTTTATTTCATTTTATAATATTGCTCTTACACCCTTCCCCCTTTTTTTTGTTCTTATATACTTATTTAATTTTCCGTCATGGGTTGCCTGGAAGAGATTGCTATTAAGCAATAAGGGCGCCCATTGTGTAATGTCTCTCTGTCAGTGTAATCTTACTGTTATGTCCTTTGTGGTGTGATACAATAAAGAATATATTATTATTATTAAAGTTTTCTTTTTATTTCGACACCTACCACACATTTTTGAATGAAAATTACCAAACAAGCTTTCAAAAATGTGTGAAATGAGAAATAACATAGCTAACTTAAAACGCTTATTTTTCAAAGATTGGTTTCTGTTAAGTGAATTTTAAATGTGATCTGTGAAGCGGATTTCCCTCATCATCAGTGTGCAAGAAGAATGTACGGAAGGCTAGTTGATTATATAAATTAAATAATAATGTAGTACAAGTTGATTTATAAATAATTTTTGATTATAAATCAATAGTTTAAAAAATATAACACTTTCAAGAAAAAAAAATTAACAATGGTCCTTAGTATCTTTTTTCATGTTTTATTTTTAAAAATGGTGAAAAAAAAACATTTTTTTTTACGTCACTTGATGTGTGTGTGATTGGAATTACAATTAGGTATTTAACGAATTTGTTAATAATACAAATAAATAATAGATATAATTTTTATTTTTTTAAAGCAAGCAACTAAAAAATCCACGCGGACCAGGCAGCAGACGGGACTCGAACCCGCACCCTTCGCAATCCGGGCGAATCCACTGACCAATTATGCTACCGCGGCCCTCACGGACGGCGTCGAAATTCCTCTAGCCATTCTTAAGCTGCAAGGCAGCGCCTGGTCCGCGTGGATTTTTTCCTAGTTAGGTATATTTTCTTTAGATTTAAATAATAGATATCTGTACTCCGCCATACAAATGATTATTATTTAATCTCGGTCAGTATCTCATTTATTTGTATGACAACACAAATATATTCGTTCTCAAGTCTTGATCGTTTATTTATGCAATCTTTTTACTAAGTTACTGTACCTATGTTATTTAGTGAAACGCTCTGCTTAAATTCGACTAAATTATAGATGTATTATATATATATATATTTTTTTATATATAAATAGTTTCGCCCAGTCTTGATATGTATCTAAAAAAATTTGGAATCTGACCTTCATGATGGTGGCTCCATCGTTGGATATGACCGCTTTGCCGCTGTGGTCCACGATGAGCTTGTCCATGCCCCGAGGGCCCAGGGTCGTGCGGACCTGTGAAATAATACACCAATGTAGTTACATACACAATTAATAAGGTGACACTTAAAACTTAAATGGATTTCTTAAAGCATTTTTCATTATATTTTTATTGTCATTGTTTAACTGCTACATGTTAAATGCTAAAGAAAATTTTGTTGAACATATCGATGAACATATAGTCAGCATGTTATTACAATTTATTTTTCTGTTTATAATTTTTTTATAATTTCTCGAGCAGGATTGTGTTTAAGACTTTGGCGCGGGAACACTACCTTAATCTATTGCATAATGCTTAACCACAATCAGAATACTGTAATCCGACAAAGTATATGTGTTATATGTATGTGGGTGTATGTGTATGTATATATATACATATATATTTATTTGTAGTGTTTGTGTGTATATTTTTAAAAGTTTGGTCGTATGTATAGTTCAGTGTTAGTATATTTGCTCATTGTTTGATTTTAATCACTTCTTTGATTCTGCTGTTTTTTTAGTTCTGTATTTTCTTACCGGTTGACTGATAGAGAATGCCATATTGGCATTACGTCCCCCATTTGCAGTGTAAAGGCAATAAAGATTAAATAAATTAATTTTTCATAGTCACTAACTATTCTGTCTTCTGTTTATGTCTGTGAATAAACCGGTTGTATAGCCGGATATAAAGAAGGATGTAAAAAGGCTGATTAAATATGATACAGAACAGCACAGAGCACAGCAGTTAAATAGGTAAACAAAAAGTCACTCAATTAACGGTAAATAGGATAAAAAAGCACTTAAAACTAGTATTTGTTTCTTAGATTTTCACGCACATCACTCATCACTGTATATTGACAGTATTCTGACGATGCAGACCTGAAAAGGCTGCTAAACGTCAATAAATAAATAAAGTTTCGTGCATTAACCTGTTAAAACTAGTAGTTAAGAGATCAATTATATAATATTTTATTTAGAAAAAAAATATCAAAAGCTAGTAACGGCTTGAATAAGAGATACTGTGTTTTGTGTTAGTTTTCAGTCTGGTACTAATCAGACAGAACAAGGATTTGTTCCATACTAGGTCACAAATTGATATATTTCGTATTATTTTTAACACAAAAAAATACAGAAACTGTTTTGGTTTTGGGTAGCCCCACTATGTAGAAGACAAACAATACAACTTACGGCATCTACTACGAGCTGGCAAGCGTTGATATTAGAGATGAGTTGTGGCCTCCCTTGCGACTGGTCTGTGCCTTCCTTCAATACGAGGATCTGAGGTTGCTGCAGATAAATTCATTGTATCAGTCACAAGTTCAAAATATTTTTAGATTATACAGGTGTAAAAAAACCTTTAACGAAGTCAAAGGCCATGATATTTTCCACATCATGACGATCTTTTTCTTCTTCCGGACCATACCTACCTGGGAAATTTACCACCTGGTTTATGAAGATATTGAAGGTCAAAGTCACAATTTTTTTTTTCAAGATTTTTACATTAATATTAAATTATCAAGACGTTATTTAGAAACTTTTTGATCGATGCACACACAGGTACATCCTTTGCGCTGCGCTATACATTGCGCAGTGGCAAAAGAAATGTATTTTTTTACTTAAAAATGTTTGTCATAAGATTTTTTACACCCTGTATAGCTAGCACACTGACTAAACAATTCCTACACTCTTAATGGTAGACACACTACACTAAAACACTGCGACAAATGATTAAAAGCAATCATTAAAATTAGATGATGAGTCACAGAAAATGTCAAAGTTACTTCATTATTGAATAGATGTTTAACAACACCTGGGTTCCATTTTAAATTCTCCATACTTTTTCAGACTCAGGACACTTGATAAATGAAAGACAGCAATTAAAAGTGTATGTATATGTATATAACATATAACATTGCACTATAAACCTAAATTTTAAAGAAAAATAACCAGAAATGGGAACTATACGTCAGATTTTTGTGCTTTATATCTTATTTTGTCTCTCAATAGTCTAAAGACCGATATTTTGATCATCTTTTCTGTATTTTTTTACATGCTATTGTCTCAAGCTACCTACCTACCAACCTACCTAACGAACGAACATGTAAATAACAAATTATTTCATTAGTTTGGGAGAATGGCAAAGCTATATCATAAATTTTCATCATATATGGTAGATTTTTCACCTCAAAGTTTCACGTGATGCGTATTTATGTCTATTTTCACTAATCAAATGAGCAGATGTTGAATTTTCATAGACAAAACGTATGACTGTCGGCATTCTGTTTATGGAAAGAAAAATTGCAAAAAACAATAATTTACCAATCAAATCTTCAAGTTTTTTATTAAACCTTACCGCTGTACATTCGCACACTTAATTCATTACGATTTTAAGTGACAAATGACCAAAACTGTACAGATATCTGGAGAAATAACCTATGAAACAATTGCACTATATCACCTAAAATTATGCTCAAACACTCAAAATAACTAATAGGCCGTGATATTTCAATACACTGAATCGCATTCGATAAATATAATAACACAAATAACAAAGGATTTCATTGATAGTTTTGAATTTAATTTACCATTTTGTATTTTGAAAACCCAGAACTCCACAAAACCTGAGCGAAAAACAAACGGATTGACAGTGACACTGACAGGTGTTTAAAATGACATTAGCATCTGGACGGTTAAGGCCTGAAATATACATGCAGCTCCGACCAGAGGAATGAGGATCTATAATGACGACAAGGACAGATAATTCTATAATACTATATTCCATTTCTAGTTAATTATGTTTTCTTTAGATTTAAACATCGAGCAGTTACTTGCTTGAAAAATAAAAATTATAACTATAATAGGGAAGATGCATATATAATATTTATGAAAATTTTATGATTAAAATGTTAAAAAAATATAAAAGAAATGCCACTGCAACGTTTTTATTTTACATAATGTTGTTTTTTAACAATTATTACGAATTAAAAATACTTGAAACGGAACGTATTTTAAAACACCAATCAGTGTTTAGTGACGTCACTCCTGTTATAACAACTTCTTTGAGGTTATGGTTGTTAAAGTAAATATTATTTTATGGGAATATTTATTGCGTTTTTTACATTTAATAAAAATGGAAGTTGCGTTTATCAAAGCAGACTCCAGGAATTTACCAAGAGTTAGCGTTGACATGGTTATAACTTTTTTTATATATGTCCAAAGTGCAGAGTTTTTAAGTGAAGAAATGAAAGGGACTAAATTACTACGGTATGCAAAAATCGTAGTTGTTAAACTTCGTATTTTATTCAGCGGCTTCTACAAATCTTACGGCGATAATGCAATCGGCTATGTCCAAATTAAAAGAGATGGAAAATTATGTACAGTAAAAGGTCGAGTTCTCCGGAGCATAAAGTACGTAAAGAAGGTTATCGTGTTACAGTTATTTTAAATGAAACGCAAAGCTTGGTTCAGTCCTGCCAATGTGAAGATTGTGCCACACATTTTAAACTTTATCTAATTTTCTACGTCATTCTCCAACTGTAAAATTAAAAATATGTTATAGACAGGTTTTGTAAGTATTAGGTAGGTTACTAATGCGTTTTTACGTACAAGCAGATTAATTAAGCATATAACAAGTATATTCGCCGACTTACGTCAAAGTGATCTTCTCAGAAGATCTTCTTCTTCTTCTTGTCTTTGGAGAATAATTGTCATTTCTCTTCGCAGCTTGAAACCACTTTTTTTCAGTTTTGGGTCAGAAGTTCCAGTCAAAAACAATTTATTTGGGAACTTTGTTGAAGTAGATTGGCACAAAACATGAGTCAACACGGTTTTTTTTCGGAATATTAGTGGTATTGTTATGATCACATGATGTTGATGGATAGTCCATTTTAAATTTTTCAAAAAAATATTTCGAAAGTCGAAAAAATATGCAAAAGTATGAAAATTTAAAGCCAGCAACGAACAATTACGACCAGTGACAGACAGGAGTGACGTCATCGCAATCATAGGTTCGTTTTCGCGCGAAAATTTAAATTGTAAATTTAAAACTGAATTTTTTCCGATAAATCAGTGTTTTAATTTTTTAATATATCTGTGGTTTATTCTACATGGAATGCTTTAAAATGAAAACCAAAATAAAAATATTGCATCTTCCCTATTGCTATTTCTTCTTTCAAATGTTTAATTCTTGTAAAGGTAGAAGACAGACATTGTGGGTTACCTACAATGCGAAGAGATGGCGCCGCCTTGCAGTTTTAGAGAGGCTGAAAGAATTCGACACGGCCATCAGTGCCACGGTAGCATAATGATTAGTGCATTCGCCTGGATAGCGAAGGGTGCGGGTTCGAGTCCCGTCGGTTGCCTGGTCGGCGTGGAATTTTTTCTAGTTACATTTTTTTTAGATTTAAGCATCGAGCAGTTACATGTAAGAAAAAATATTAATTTGTTTCTTAAAAACAGTGATGTTCACACAATTAATACAAGAAACAAAAATAAACTAACTTTACCTGCTACTAGGCTTCACAAAATTAATAATTCATTTAAAGGTCTTTGTGTTCGCTTATACAATAAAGTCCCAAGCAATATCCAAGAGTTAGCCATAAATAAATTTAAAGATATTATAAAAAAATACACTTATTAAAAAAGCTTATTACAAAGTGTCTGATTATATTACAGACAAAAATGCTTAGGTTTGAACTGTTCCAATCATTCCAACAGGTTTTCTATATTAAATAAATCATAATTGTATTGGCGTTGTAACAACATAATGATTTGTAAATGTTGTTACATTAGACTTTTAATGTTGTGGAGTTTTTTTCGCTCGTTTTTCTCCGCAGCTAAAAAATATGTCCATAACGAGTGGTAGGGGAAAAAAATTTTTGGACGATTCAAAAGAGTTGTATTATACATCCAATTTGAATAAACATATATTGATTTCTGATTTCATGCATAATACATGAAAATTATAATTATATTTCATTTCAGAATTCTTCAATTTAATGACGATTATTTATATTTAGATAAAAATCTAATTGACTATTTTACGCATTCTTATAAAAATCTGTCATATTGAGTTCAACGGTCTTCCAGTTACAATGTTACATTTGAACTCCTTTTTACTTATAATTTTTATTTTTTAAGCATGTAACTGCTTGATGTTTAAATCTAAAGAAAATATAACTAGAAAAAATTCCACGCGGACCAGGCAGCAGACGGAACTCGAACCCTCCGCAATCCGGGCGAATGCACATAATAATATTTGAAACCTTTAACTTGATAATAATATTTGAAACCTTAACCTTTTAACTTAATAATATTTGAAATATTTGAATTTTTTAACTGTTAGGTTTTGGAAGGATAGTCTGTTTTCTCATTTCATAAATGATTAACTTTTATATGCAATGTTTTCATGCACATTAAGCATTTAAAGACATATCAAAACACCTTTTAAACAGGTATTTTTTGAAGCGAAACTTCTTTAAGCACGCTCGACTTGGGGTAAACTAACGCAAAAATCGTCACACATTTGCCATGTGTGACGATTTTTGCGTTACGCGCGTAACGGTGACTCATCGGTAAACAATGAACATGTATTTTGTGACGATAACAATATATCGTCACAAAATACATGAATCTAGTGCTTGGTGGGTGATAACGGACGCAGCGCGGATCGGTGGGTGATAACGGACCCAGTGCGGATTGGTGAATGATAACGGACCCAGCGCGGAGTGGTGGTTGATAATGGACCCAGCGAGGATTGGTGGGTGATAACGGACCCAGTGTGGATTGGTGGGTGATAACGAACCCAGCGCGGATTGGTGAGTGATAACGGACCCAGTGTGGATTGGCGGGTGATAACGGACCCAACGTGGATTGGTGGTTTTTTTTCTATCAACAAGTCTTCAGGTTAAGTTTATGATTTTCAGATCATTGGGAGCTAAATAAGTTTCACATCAGTAGTGTGGTGTCAGATAAGTTACATCACTTATGCCTTTACCTAATACATCACTAAGGTATGTTATTGATTCATAAAATAAAGATGGCGCAGAGCGCTAGACTTTCTTAGTGTTTTATTTAATCAACCAACATTACATGTGGTCATAAGCACACTCGCGTTTCAAATCTTTTCCAGGGGTTATATTGTGCCAAGTTTAGCATTCGAAGTGTAAGATTCGGATTGCGCTATCCATTAAGCAGCTTGTGAGAAGTTCAACTTACCGTGCAGCTAAACATTTATTGTACCTCTTTTTGAAGTGTCTCAAAGTGTTCTCTTTTTGGACCTCAAGTCACAACGATACTAAAGAAGTTTTTGTAATTTGAGATTCCATGAAACGGAAGTTTAGTATTTAACACAAGATAGGTGTCCGTTATTTTGTTATGTCTTGGCAATCCTAAGTTTAAAACCATGCTCAAGATTTTTATAAATTATATTTGTGTGGTGAATTGAAACACAGATCAAGGCCGTAGGCTGTGTGTTATGTACGTTGACCACAAAAGTAATGCACTCTTCTACTTTTATATACCATAAGAGACGGATAACCAAAAGAACGGCCTTGGGGTCTACCCCAACTGATCGGAGGGTCGATCCGGAGCTCGGTATTTTTTTAAATTGTTTATTTCTTACATTAAGGTAATATGTATTTTTCGAAACAATTTAAGTATAGAATATTTGAATTTGCCCAGTACTTTACAATACCTGAATAGTTAAGTATTTAACGTTTGGTAGGTACACTTACTGAAGTAGTTGATTATTACACGGGTTTAGATTTTAAAATCAACTTTTACCTTCCCAATGTTCGCATATTTTGTTTTTTATTTTCTCGGGTCTAGCTGATTATTTTACTGTAGTTTTTTTCTGATTCCCTTAAAATAAAAGCTTTAGTTCATGTTGATTAGTAATCTTATGTGTATGATGTTGTACAATATTTATTTAATGGATATCGTCTAATATGTTTATTACAGTTTATTTCTTGCTCGTTAATCGCTAGAATCGCTACATAGCTTCTATTAAATCTTCGTAAAATACGTAAATAATTTGTTTTATAATTCGTTTTAGTGCCGCCATCTATCAAGAAATTAACCATTTTCTTATACGATTATGGCAGTGCTTTTGTAGCAAGACAAGCTTATAAGCATGTGTGCTTGAAATTAAAAAAAAATGCTTAAAAATCCTTAGATGGAGCGTGCGATCGCAAGTACATTTATGAAATTTGATGTCTAAGTAATAATACGCTTTATTACTTTTGTTTGCGAAAAAGTAACTTAAATTAAATAGTGTATTAATGTTTTTATTGAAAGTGATTATTTAAATAATGTCTTAAAACATAACGCACATTTTTTGTATTGAGCTTTTATCAATTATCGAGACAATTTTCCCTTTAATAGTAAACTTAGACTACGCTTGCATTGGTTACTCCATGTTTTGTCTTTTTCATTACATGGCGTAACTTGTCTAAGCTTATTCCTTGTTTATTAATAAAGGGGTTTAAGTATAAAAAAAATAATTTTTACCTAGAGAGTTGAATTTTAACATAGGTTTTGTCTTTAAGACGTACCTAGTCATAAACCTTTGACGACCTCCGTGGCCGAGTGGTTCATACGCCGGGTTTCATGGCGTCGCCGACTCGAGAGGTCCCGGGTTCGAATCCCGGTGGGGGCAGATGTTTGTGTGATGAATACGAGCATTT